AAAAAAACAACAACAACAATAACGTTACCACTGTAATATGTCTTGCAATATCCAAAAAAACAAAAACACCAATAACGTTACCACTCTAATATGTCTTGCAATATCCGTGCGTGTAAAGGTTCTGTGCTATCCTCTTGTTCAATATTCTCTGGGTCTGAATCTGGCTAAAATTGATATGGCAATATTGACGCCATCCTTAACTAAACCGGAGCAGACGGAACTTGCTGCTTTGGCAAGGGGTGGGGCAGTACTGAAACACTGTCTAAGCTGTTCGCCAATCCCAACGCACTAGGACAGCTAACCAATCACATCACATTTAGTTCTTCGGAAGGCGGGCCTTCATCAAACCCGGAACTAATCGAGCCGTTTGTGCCAGGATAGGGAGAAAGGTATTGTAATAATCTAAATTATGTAAAAAATAATGCGTTTTTCGAACCACCAAGCATGAGAGCATGTTCTAGTACACCCCCAAAACAAATTCAAGACATTGTAAAAGAGCATAATAGGACCCCTTTAAGAGTCTTTTCCATACAACCTTCCCTTCAAAACACACACACACACACAAACATTTCAATCAAATACACCAAAAAGTTGGATTTTTTTGCTGCCTGCCTGCACAAAGCTTTAGTGTACTTTTAATGTTAAAATTGAGTTGAGGAGGTACATTTCTGAGACAGACTGTTTAGGGTGCTACCTGACGCGAATCTCCTGGATGTTCGGGATGAAGGTGCAGCTCCTGGGTTTTCTCTCTATAGGGCTGAAGGGGTCGAGATCAGGGCTAGAGGCACCAGAGTTTGCCTCAGCGTCTCTGTAAAATCACACAGAACAAGAAAGTCCTGTTAGTTGTAAAGTATTTGAGGTGTTCTGAGACTGACTGTATAGGCTGATTCTCAGACAACTAGTATTAGCCATACTGTTATCATATTAGCAGAGACTTCTGGGTTTTGTGTTGAAAATACACTGACCTGAGGTCTGGACTGCCATAGTGCCCATCCACCAGTGACGGGCAGGTGGAGGAGGGTGTCAAAGTGCTCAGAGGGGAAGAAGAACTGTCTCTTAAAAGTGATGCAGACATCTCTGACAGCTAAAAAAAAAAAAAAAGAGCACCACCAGATGATAAAGCTGGCAACACATTAAAAGTGTCTCGTTCATTATATTCCAGAAAATGCCAAGCTTACCCTTAAAACATCTATTACACTAATCATGCTGCTCTACTCTAAATGAGTAAATGAGAGTGAAAATTAAATGAAATTTTTTTTTTTAAATGGTTAAAGGAAAAAGACTGTTAAATGAGACATAAGAAGAAAGAGAGAGAGAGAGAGATCTGGTCTGCATGGGCGAGAGAATGAGGCAAGGTCTGGATGGACACTAGGGCTGTAAAGGCTCACCTTGCTCTCACTGAGACTGCAGCTCACCTATATATATATATATATATAATTAAATTTATTAAATTATTAAAGATTTATTATCTGAAAGCAAGTATCTTGTTTTAAGGATGATATTTTACTGAAAACAATAATAATTATATATCCATACATACATACATACATACTATGTTTTCAGGGCTGTCAAGCTCTAACATGACAACATTTTTTTCTTTGTTGCGACAGGAGAGTATAGACAGACAGAAAACGAAGTGGTGGATGGGATATGGAAAGGTGCCTTACCCTTAAAACATCTATTACACTAATCATGCTGCTCTACTCTAAATGAGTAAATGAGAGTGAAAATTAAATGAAATTTTTTTTTTTAAATGGTTAAAGGAAAAAGACTGTTAAATGAGACATAAGAAGAAAGAGAGAGAGAGAGAGATCTGGTCTGCATGGGCGAGAGAATGAGGCAAGGTCTGGATGGACACTAGGGCTGTAAAGGCTCACCTTGCTCTCACTGAGACTGCAGCTCACCTGGCTGTACTGCCTGTTGAAGGTGTGCATGAGCAGTCGCACACACTGAAAAGAGAAAAAAATTTAGGAAAAGGGAATAAAATACATAAAGTAACAATATAAAGAGTTTTAGCATTTCAGAGTGGTGGTTTTCAATTTAGTAAAATAACAGTTAACAGTAATAAAAATTTATGGTTTAATCTCACCAGGACCAAATTTTAACATATGGACATCGTGATTTGAAAAACTAAATGTGTCTCTATTAACTTCACACAGAATCTGAAATAATATATTGCAATGATTCTGTTTTTTTTTCTATTAAAATGCCAGTCTTATTTATTTATTGTTGTATGGCAAACAATTCTTTGAGGTATCTGAATATTTTTTAGAATGGAGTTTAAGTAAGTAAATAAATAAGAAAACATAATCGGTCTGAATATTGAGCCTTGTGGTACTCCTTATCTTATCCTTAATATATATATATTATTTTTTCTTACAAGTCTTATTTTTTTCTTATTTTCTTACAAGTCCTATATACATACATACATAAAATTGAATTAATTTTCATTTGCCTATCCAATTGGCTTTTTGTTCGTTTGTTTGTTTTGAACATAAAATTTTATTTATACATACATATATATATATATATATATATATATATATATAAATAAATTTATTAAATTATTAAAGATTTATTATCTGAAAGAAAGTATCTTGTTTTAAGGATGATATTTTACTGAAAACAATAATAATTATATATCCATACATACATACATACATACATATATATACATATACTGTATATATATATACGCACACTTTTGTTTGGTTTAGTCAAAGTGGACTTGGTGGGAATAGCCTATCAGTGTCATGTTATGTGAATATAAAGCAGCAGACATTCACCTTGGCAGCCAGCTCCCTCTGCCTCTCGTTGGGACTGTCCAGACACAGACTGACTACTGGGTTGATCATGGGGCTGGAGGCCTTTGGTGAATCCATCAGGTCTTTGCCACAGAAAGAGTCCTGTCCCAGCAGTAGAGATGTTTCCAGCTTCTCTCTCAGCAGAAGGTAATGCCTGGTCTTCTCCACCTGTAAGCAAACACAGACCTCACAGTCATTTACTTGAATGAAAACAAAAAGCCAAAATTAAAAGCCCTTAAACATTCAGATGGACCATATTTTACCTCTTGTAGGAGGCTAAGTTTCTCCAGCTCCCACTGGTGGTCCAGGATGAGGCTGTCGCTGCGCGGCCTCCAACCCGCAAGGTTCTCCTCTCCGCGCACATATGCCACTGAGGTGTCCAGCACCCGTCTGCGCCTCCTTTGCATACCTGCACCATCAATGCAGAACAACAAAATGAATCAAACAAAAGGGTTAAATGTGCATATTTATGTGATAAAAAATTGATAATTTGTACATTTGAATTTGTACATAATAACTTACCAGGGCTTCCAATGTCAGCCAAATGGCAGAGGCTTAATTCATACACTCCAGTCACACGGTTACTGAGACACGAAAGACCAATTAACCATTTAACTCCACTATTACGATGATAATCCAAATGAAAAACTGTTTTTAGATGTCAGTTTTGAGCATTAAAGCTTGGAAATAGTGCATTGATTAACTCAAACTCAATTTACTTGACTGCAAAAAGAGGCCAGCAAACTTTCCTCACCTCTCAGAGGGCCTAAAGGCACCAGTGCTGAAAAGGTTTCGAATGGAGCGACATGCAGGAAGTTTAGCATCTCTGGAGTAGAACACCATGCAAAAGTCCTTAGTGATGACAGTGGGCTGAGTGCAGTTCTCCATCTAAACATTACAGCAACAAGTTAGTTGAACATCTCATAATCAAATTCAGAGCTAAACTACTGACTGTGTAGTCTGAATTTACTGTTACTTGTGTTGATACTTCATTTTATTAGTTCCAATATCTCCCACATCGATTAAATGTCATAATCTGATCACTTTAGTTTGAAAGAGTCTTCCTCACCTCAAGATAGGCGGAGAGGGTGATGTAAATTTTCTCTCCATATGGAGTGACACGGTTCAGCAGGAGGGAGTTGTGCATGGAGCTGTCCCATGCAGCCTCAAAGCGGTAAAATGTCCTGAAAAGTTGCAAACAGCTTTGAGAATTATATGACTGCTTATATTTTTCTTTATTTGTACAAGTTTGAAAACGTATGGTGGGTTACAACAAACAAACAATAAATAAATAAAAAATACTGTATGCTTAAGGATATAGCATACCTATGGTCAATTCCCAATGACACTCTGACAGGACACAAAGAAATTAACATGTTAGTGAATTAAAATTTTGTTAACATACTAATTTTAATTATGTCATTAAATAATCAGAATATTAAGAATAAAATTTTATTTAAATGCATCTATGTGAATTAGTTATGAGTTGTTAGCACACATTTTAATTCATATTAAGAGTAATTGATTAATATACATTAATTAATTGACCTTATATACATAATATATACATAATACAAATCATTTTAATAAATAGAATTCATGTAAACACTTTGTTATTGCTAACATTGCTATTTTATTATGACACAATAGTCATATTGCAAATAGCAAAAACAGCTTGTAAAAGCATTCTGTTATTGAGAGGTACTGGAGGAAGGATCGGTGGTGTACCTGTCATCATAAGATGGTCGTATGTAGCCTGAAGACAGGATGTTGAGGGACAGGATGTTGGGGTCGATGATAGTCTCATCCGCCTCGGGTGTGTTACGGATACGCCCTAAAAAAGAACAAAAGAAATGCTGAGTCATCTGAAACTCTGCCTGACATCTCCATTTGTCCTCTATGCCAGTAGTGCTTAATGTGATGGATAAAAAATTTTAAAAGAAAAAAATAGCACAGCATTTTCTAACCTATGACGAGCTCTTTAACCTCCTTCCACTCAATATCATTGCCGGTTTCATGGGCAATAGTTACTGTAATTCTCCTTTGGATGCCCTGCAGAAAATATGAAAAATCCTCCATTTTTATCTCAATCTACAAAACTGTTCAAAACATTGGGGTCTGTAAAAACTTTTTTCACAGGAATTAATACTTTTCAGCAAGGAACTATTAAAGTAATCAGTGTCAGTGTCAGTAAAGATATTTATATGCCAGTAGTGCTTAATGTGATGGATAAAAAATTTTAAAAGAAAAAAATAGCACAGCATTTTCTAACCTATGACGAGCTCTTTAACCTCCTTCCACTCAATATCATTGCCGGTTTCATGGGCAATAGTTACTGTAATTCTCCTTTGGATGCCCTGCAGAAAATATGAAAAATCCTCCATTTTTATCTCAATCTACAAAACTGTTCAAAACATTGGGGTCTGTAAAAACTTTTTTCACAGGAATTAATACTTTTCAGCAAGGAACTATTAAAGTAATCAGAAGTGTCAGTAAAGATATTTATAATGTTACAAACTTTTAAAAAGTAGTGTAAATAAAATATCATCTGTACTACCATTAAAGGGGTTAATAGGGACAGAAAGATGGATTCATGTTTACCTGGTGCAACAGGAATGTACCATGGCAGGGCATTCCACCCCTGTGATCAACAACAGCTGGGATGTAGCTAAAAAAAAAGTACACAAACAGGTACAAGGGTTATATTATATATGAATAACCTACCATACACATAGGATTCAATGAATAACTAGGAACTGATATACCAAAATGTGTTTTCAGATACTCACTCTCCATTGGCCTCCAGCTCACAGATCTCAAAGAATGCCATAAGGTCATATTTGCAGTGACAGGGGCCAGCAGTGGAGCGTGTCAGCGTGTTCAGTTTAGTGGCGGGCACTGGGGAGAGACAAGAGGTAGAGTTCAGACACAGACAGACCACAAGTACTGTATGTACTGGTCAAGAAATGAGACAAAACATCACCCTACCTGGCTTTGACAAAGGCATAACTCTAGGGAACTGCCTTCTTGTTGGACGTAAGGAACTATAGGGAGGGAGGGAACATTTTATTTGACATTTTAGGTGACTAAAAAGTATTATAATAATAAAAATCTAAAGTTGCTCACCTAATTAAGTCCTTGCAGAGAGGAGGGAAAGGCTGTTTCTGGTAGTGGCCGAACACCTCAAAAACGATTGGCTGACTCTTGATGTATTCCACGAAAGACTTGGTGACCTCCACGGTTATCTGCAATAGTAGCAAACCGCACAAATTGTTTATGTTTGATTTATTTCTAACATCTCAAACATGGTTGAATTACTTCATTAATAAATGGCACAAAGGTTGATTACATTTTGTACATGGTAGAATCCCAGTGGAGGCCCTCGGCCTGTATTCTTTAATGGCTCAGTGGAAAATGCCTCGTCATGCCTGTGAATAAAACTGGAAAAAGACACAGGACAGCTGAGATGAGATTGCATCAGATGTCTTATGAGCATCCTGGATGAGTGTTTGCAGAAGCGTCATTCAAACTGAGGGGGCACATTGTTTTTGAGCATGTTTTTTTTTGTTTGTTTGTTTTGCAAAAAAAAGTGTTTGTCTAAACCACTGTGTCTGAAATTTGTACGTAATGTGCAGAAGTATTTGCCTTTCAAACCCTAAAATCTGTCAGATGTACAGCACAGTTTCTTTTATGGAAAATCCTGATAAATCTATGGATGTGATACATCTACTCACTTGAACTGGCAGAAGATATCTGCATACTCAGCAGAGATGCTGGAGGCCTGAAGCACTGTGACCCTGAAGGTGAAGTTGCTGCCGATATTCAAGTGCTGGAGTGATATTTCCTGAGTCACATCAAGAGGACATTCCAGACCACCCTTCAGAGGACTGTTAGGAACATCAGGAGAGGCTAGATGCAGCAATGCATGAGAAAACAGTTAAGATTAGAATACAAATACTGTCTGACTCTTATCTTGTGTAAGTCACTTATATTACTATTAACAACTACAACTAACAACTAAACGGTAAAAATATCACAGTAGTATGATTGTTGGGCATATTATTTTATGTTCTGGCATGTATACATTTATTATAATGTATTGTGCAAAATGTATATCAATCACTTAATCAAGTATAAGTATATCAAGTATATCAAGACCCTTACTGGATCCTCTTCAGTTTGCCTACAGAGCAAACAGGTCTGTGGACGATGCAGTAAACATGGGACTGCATTATGTTCTGCAACATCTAGACAGACCAGGGACTTATGTGAGGATCCTGTTCGTGGACTTCAGCTCGGCCTTTAACACCATCATCCCAAGACGCGTTTCAGAAAGGCGGGGCATAGAGGAGAAACAATAATGTACAGTATGTGGAAAATAATGTTTTTTGAACCTTAAACCACATAAACACATTTTATTACACCAAATACACAAAATAATGTTCTTTTTAGCAACATCATATGACCCCTTTAAACATATTACCTGCACAGGTGTTGTTGTTGACCTCATCAGCACTGAGGCCCATATCTGAGTTTTGCCCTTCTCCTTCTACGATTCGCAGCTCCTCTTGAGATGTATTTGTGTGAGACATCCCACCGGTGCATGATTCTGTATGGAACTAAGCAGAGAGAAAAAAAATTCTTGATGGTGTCTCACCTTCTATGAAAACAATTTAATACCTAAAAATCCAAAGCCCAACTCCACTTCAGAGATAATAACTGTGAGAATTAATTTGCCAAGCAGAAAAAAAAGAATCAGTTACATTAAATGAGTAACACAACCAACCTTCTCAAACTGTTGATCCTCAAATGAGATCTTGGCAGTTCCTGATTGTCTTACACCTGAGCCATAATCAGGAGCCTCTTCATCAGCTGTGACAAGAAATTAAAGATTATGGCAACAATTTAATATTTAATCCTATTTATGCTTGCATACTCAAAACAATTCTAAACATTATCAGAGGAAGGAAATAAATAAATACATACATACAAACATACATACATACATACATATATATTTCATTCATAAAAAAACAAGAGAATTTACCAATGAAATATATAAAACATAATCGGTCTGAATACTGAGCCTTGTGGTACACCTATACTGTTATTAAAAAAAGTCAAACAATCAGTTCCTGATTGTCTTACACCTGAGCCATAACCAGGAGCCTCTTCATCAGCTGTGACAAGAAATTAAAGATTATGGCAACAATTTAATATTTAATCCTATTTATGCTTGCATACTCAAAACAATTCTAAACATTATCAGAGGAAGGAAGGAAATAAATAAATACATACATACAAACATACATACATACATACATGTATATTTCATTCATAAAAAAACAAGAGAATTTACCAATGAAATATATAAAACATAATCGGTCTGAATACTGAGCCTTGTGGTACACCTATACTGTTATTAAAAAAAGTCAAACAATACTTCAGTTAAATTTCTAATTGGAATCTGCTCAAAATAGGTTTGTGAAAGCATCATGAAGATAAACTTACCTGATATGGCTTGTACTGCCACACGGAGGAACCCCTTGACCTCGCCTTTCTCACTCACAATGGCCACACGGTGCACTAATGGCACAGGGTACAGCAGATTACTCAGATACACAAATGCCCTACGGGAGAAGAAGGAGAGGATGATGGGAAAAAGGAGGAGAGTCAAAGAAAGAAGAGGGATTTGAGACAGTTGATGGGGTGAAAAAAGAAGAAAAAGTGTTAACATGAATGGAAAAAGAAGTTTAAATGGGAAAAATGTCAGTGAAGATCAACTCAGCCACACTGCCACTAGACAACATAACATCATACACAAAAAAGCAACCAAACAAGAAGCTGCTCCAGCGAAAGCCAAAAAGTCTGCGGTTCATCTGTGAATACTCTATTAGAGCCTCTATTCTCATAAAATGATACAGAAAGTGGTGATAGCAAGGGTTTTGGTCTCTGTGGGGGTTGGTGAAAGTGTTTCAAGAACATGCATATAGAGGAGAACTGCACCACAAGCTACTTTACACTATAACATTTGACTAACTGCTCTAATTGTCAAGTCATAAACATAGGCGAAGATATGGAAATGCACTGTCATACATCTGATTTTAATTGACGTTTCAGTAACTGATTGAAGGTTTAATTATAATTCCATGTCACAATTATGTGTCTATGAAATCCCTGAACTAGACATGACATCGAATGCAGTTAAGTTTGGTGACAGATTTGTACAAATTCATTCATTCAATTCAAATCTGCCCTCTTGATCCCAATTTGTTGCTGGACGAAGCTTGACAGGCCGGGTTCAAGAGTGGCAGGAAGTGTGGCCAGAGGGGAGGAGCTTTCAACAAGATTGGTGAGTCGCAAATACAGCATGCTCAGATAAACAAAATGTTTAGTGAGAAAATAAACTCCAAATTTGGCTTGTTGGGCCAGATGCAAACTGGAAAGCAAAAAATTGAAATGACATTAACATACATGAATTTAACCTCCATCAACTTAAAAGAGAAATCAGAGTCAACACATGTCACAAATCTTGTATGTTGCATGTGCGCAGGGAAGTGAGAGTGTGGGTGCCAATCCAAAACTGTGATACAAATTTTAGCTCTGGCATGCCTGATTGAGACTGCTGTAGTCGAAACCAGCTCTTTCATTTTGAGCGCTGCAGCTTTTCAGGCAAAACAATCAGCTGATTTATACCGATCACAGAAACAACGGAATTCTGCAGAGGATGCTAATTTCATTTCAGAGAAGAACAGACAAAAATGTATTATGCTGCCATACAATGCTGTATCTTTCAAAACAGGGCAGAATTGACGTGACTGGCATTCACAACACTATTAATTTTGTCCTGTAGAGTCACCCATGTTCAAATGCCTCCAAATGCCTAAAGTTGCCCTATGTAACAATATACATCCATTAGGAATCTATGTCACCAGTGGTCTACTGTGTTTCAGTCAGTATCTTGACATTGCTATTCATTTTGTTCAGCTTCCTCTCATTCAGTTACTGAAAACCTCAGATACCACTGAAATGGTCCCTTTCAACACTGTATGCAACAATATAAGATTATCAATGCATAAGAAAAAAGATAAAAGCTTTGTTGACTTAGAAGTAAAACACATCTGAAACATGCAGAAAGAGGCATTAAAACTGCCTTCAGATCAGGTTAACAGTTTCACACTTTCAAAGTCAAATGTTGTAAGACAGACCATAAAGAAATATATATGATTCATTTTGTTCAGCTTCCTCTCATTCAGTTACTGAAAACCTCAGATACCACTGAAATGGTCCCTTTCAACACTGTATGCAACAATATAAGATTATCAATGCATAAGAAAAAAGATAAAAGCTTTGTTGACTTAGAAGTAAAACACATCTAAAACATGCAGAAAAAGGCATTAAAACTGCCTTCAGATCAGGTTAACAGTTTCACACTTTCAAAGTCAAATGTTGTAAGACAGACCATAAAGAAATATATATATTTTTTAATATTTTATTTATTATATTATATTTACATTGACATATTAGGATAGCATCATTCTTTATTCATCTATGTATTTATAATTAAAATCTACATTTGTGTTGTTGTTATTATTATTATTAATACATGTACTATATACTTTATTATATTTACATTGACAATGGAATGTCATCAACATTTATTTATTTGTTTGTTTGCTTGTTTATTAAAATTAAAATTATTAATATTATCAAATGTATTGTATTTTATTATATTTGTGTTGACAAAACAGAACAGCATCAAAATGTATTTATTGTTAAAATTCAAATAATAATAATAATTTATTATTATTATTATTGTAATAAATGTACTACATTTATTATATTTCATTTAACTGTATTTACATTGACATAATAGAATGGAATCAAAAATGTATTTACAAAAGAAAAACTAAGATCCAAATCATTCTTATTCTAATTAATAATAATAAATGCCATCCAAGAAAATGACTGTATAATGTAGAACACTAGATGAAAAAATATGGCAGTAATGTTTGTTTAGCAAGAAATTCATTTTTACCTGTTTTACCTGAAAACATGAGAATACATTTAGGAACTGACCAAAATGATCTTTATCTTTGCAATAGATATTCTCCCCCCTGTCTGTGATGTTCATTTATTTAGTGCCCTGTTAGGAAGTTCTAGTAACAGTCCCTGTTGTCTGTGTCTCAGTGTGAAAGAGCTAGTTTCCTCTGACAGCATGCTCCTGAAACCTCACCAACCTTCCCACTAAACTGAACAGAGGCCAGCGGTCGTAAAAGGGGTCCTGGCCATCGCTGACACCTGGGCAGTGCTCCCCCACACCATCCTCCTCCTCTCTCCCAAGCTCTGAGCCAGGGTCCTCCATAAAGATCTCATCATCCAGGTCATCCAACTCCTCCTCCTCCACCTCGACTTTCCCATAATGCCGCTCATCAGCGAGCTCGGTTATGTCAGAGTCGGGGTCAGAGAGGGTGGGGGAGAGGGTAAGGTCACTCATGCGCTCGCTCATGCACGTGTTGAGAATGGGAGTGCTGGTGCAGCCGAAAACACGGGAACTGGGTTAGTACAACACCACACACGCACACGCCGTTTCCAGTCATGTACAGTGGGAATACCAGCATCCACTCAGCACATTAAAGCATACAAATTTGACTGGTCAATTACTCACCGACCAACCAGACGGAACCATGGAAAGCGGTCATAGAAGGGGTCACCGCCGGACATCATATGATCGCAGTCCTCGACTGCAGTACTGGGCACCTCTGCTGCTCGGTCATACATTTCTCTCATCAAATCCAGTCTTTGTCTGCTGAGACAACAGTAATGCATCAACAAAACATACTCTGTAATGTTATATGCAATGTTCTATTTATATGCTCACTTTTTAAGCATAAACCAAAAAGGAAAAGGTGGCTAACATTCATTAAACCCCCTATAGCTTTAGCCTATTAGCTTTGAGATCATCAACATGCTGGTCTACTCCTAAAGGGTGAAATTAACAGCTACATGCATTTAAAATGTACAATATTTGTCTTCTAGGAACAGAAAAAAAATATTAATGATTCATTCTACACATAGTGCATCCAAATCTTTGTCTCTTTAGAATAAGAATGAACTACCTACAGTAATACCACCTGCCTCTGATTAGCAATACCAAATAGTCATGACTGTGACATAAATTTAAGTCTATTTGGCCATTATTCAAGGGCATAAGCATTGATAGAGTAGAAAATATGATCTTGTTCATTTTACAGTACCTGAATTAATCCCTTTTTAGTTTGAAATTAGTGTTGAGGGTGTAAACAAGCTACATGCTCATCATAATTTAAAATAGTTCAACTACAGTCAAGCTACTCAGTTAAAAAGTTAATTAGACACTACTAGAGTAGCTACAAACAAAATGTATGTAACAAAGATTTTTAATAGGACAATCTCTTTTTAGCAATCAGATATATAATTTAAACGGCAAAATTATGTTGGTGCAAAAACAATGAGGGTTGTTGAATTGGTTTGTGAATAATTTATTTACATGAACTGTCTGACCTAACAATTCACTAAAATTGATCAGACTTCCCAATGCAACATATGAGACAGACATTCATATGACATTGATGCAGCATTTTTTCATGTTACACCACTTCTGATGTAAAAAGTAGCATATTACCGGAAAAAAGTGACACCATTTTGAAAGTAGCTGAGCTATAACTCGTCATGCATAACTACAGGGCTAGACTCATCTTGTGGGCATTATGTGCATATTTGTGTATGTTTAATCTCACTGTACCTGAGTTTGTCCAGTGTCCAGTAGTGTGTGGCACCATTTTTCTGGTCCTGAACCTCTACTGCTACGATGGTGCGAGGGAACAGCCTTTTCTCCCTATCTTTGGCTATGCTGGGGGGCAAGAGGTCAGGGGGCAGCGGGGAGTACAGTGTGTCCGTTAGTAGTACAAACTGAAACTGAACCTGCAAATAAAAAAGGGAACAATTTATCGATTTGTATCCATTTATACTCATTTTTGAGATTTAATCTTATCTAAAAATAACTTTTTTTATTAAGCTGACCTAAAATTATTTCAGTGTACCTTTTTCTTTAGCTCCACACTAATGGCATTAGCCTCCTTGAGGAAAATTGCATTTCCCCATAGCAAGTCTCTGAGAGAGGTGAACTGATAGAATCGCCATTTCCGGAAAGCCCAGAGGGCCAGTTCTGTCTCTTGCTTTGTCCACGGCACTGCAGGACCAAAATATGAACCCATTTCAAATGAGATGTCTCAGGAACAACTAAGCACTTACAACACATGTTTCAGACCTGCCTGCCTGAAATTTTTTTTGAGTACCATTAGTGTGACCGGTAAAGCCGCAAAAACTAGATATTGTAGCTGATACTAATCATAGGCTGGTTGATTTGCTGGTTTTAGCCAGTTGATCTGGTTCCCAGAGTGGTTTACATATCTAGATCAGTCATGCTGGATACTAGAGGGCGCCCCTGCGCAGAAAGTCCACATATGCATCACCAAAGAAATAGAGCTCAGGACTCCATGAAATACCATACACGTTTCCTCATCTCAGCGCAGGACTCACGGACACACAAACAGAGCCAGTTTGGAGAGAAAAAAAAAAAATGCTACTTGTAAAGATACAGTGTTCGTCTTTAATGAAGTGGCCGCTCAGGACAATATCCTGCCGACTGCTGGCATCCTCCCGGCCGACCCTACCGGAAAACATGGAGGCCATATGTCAGAATAAAGGGGAAAAAATATGAAAAATGTAACAAAAAAATGTAATCATTTTTTAAACCAATGATTTAATCTAAAGATCGGTTAGCTCATATCACATCAAACCGTTCAAATTATTATTATTGTTATACTTTATTCTCAAATTATTGTTAACAACATCAGCATTGCCTATAGTGTGTAGTAGCGTGTAGATTTCAATTTCTGTACAGTCTAACCTCTAATTCTCATACCGTTCAAATTTCATATTAAGAAATTCTTTTAACCCAAAAAGCTAATTATGCTCCCTTCGAACTGGTTGTCTTTAAAATACAAGGCTATCTGTACCTTCTAACTGGTTGTCTTTAAAATACAAATCTTGTTTAATCCCAGGCTATCTGTAATCAGATGCACATTTGAAACTGGAATATAATTTAATTTCATTCACATGTGTTTCATAAACAAATAATCCTTTCTGGATTACAATCCGCCATCAAAATGATAAATTTAATTATTCCAGCTGCTGTGAGAAAAGGCTATAAACGATCCTCCACCTGCAGGATCCTCACATGCGATAGCCTAAAAGCCGGGACAACTTCTTTATGTTTACAAACGTGACGTAATGACACAGCGGCATGCTCGAATTTCCTGCGAAAACCTACC